GTCTAGAATTAGGCCCAAAAGTCTATAGCAACAAATGAGAACAAGGGTTTTGCGGTAGTGCAGAAAATTATCACAAAAGAGATCTTAGCAAACCACTGAAATAAGGAAATGCAACAAACCTGTGAACTTTTCGCAAGCTCAAGGCCAAAATTGAAGGATGGGCTCAAAGGGCTGCCTGATCCCACTCCGTAGCCAATAGCACAGCTCCAATTTTCTAAGTTCTTAAACTTTTGGTCATTTTTGCTTCCAACTATCAATAGTAAACAGAACCAATAAAAATACTGTCCCATATGAATTTTGAGTTGTTCTCTCTCTCTCTCACTCACTATGCATGCATGCATCATTGGGTTAAGAAGCAATTAATGAACTGTAAAGGAACATTTTCTCTTAGATACCCAAGCTTTTACCCTATAAAACATCGAAATAAGCTTAAAGCACTTCCACCATGTGAAGTGGCCATGCATGTTCACAGCAAATGGATTCCTTGCACAGGATTAGAGACATGTATTACACATCTTATTTTATTGGAAGACAAAGGTCAGATATGTGACGCATAAATGGGAAGAATAGGACATCTTATTTTGTTGAATTTATCAGCACAAAATCATTTTTTCCAATCAGGGGTATATCTTGTTTACTAGTGACTAAATAATGAATATCTCTTTACCAAGGAAACTAAGTCAGTGGTAGAGTCCAAGAAAATTACACTGTGATTCATACTGCACCCCGGTGGTTAACCTTCCCATCTTGCTCACCAGCCATGCACTTTTGGGAACATCATCTCCCACTGCACCAACATTCATTAGTCCACTTATGAATTAAACAAGAAACAGCAAAAGATTATTCCACTCACAGCTGATAAAAAGGAATGTCCAGACCAGAAAACTTAGGAAAAGCAAGTTCATGTAAGCAACAACAGGTCCCATTATGTATGAACATAAAACTTAGTAACTTAATCATTGCATGTCACATACAAGCGAAAGGCATAAGAGTAGCTCCAACCGAGAGATTTGATGAGCCATATCTCAAACCCATGACTCCATAATCTTGTGAAGATACTCTGGACATTCAAAATGATCATATATCAGTCAATACATGTTCACAAGTCTAGACAAACAAATCTGACATCCCGGTCTATAACAGAATCAAACCAACCTATTCTTTAAAAGCACTGGGAAAATGCCAAAAGCTCCAAACCCGAATTTAGGGTAGAATGCACATGATCTCATCAGCAGTGTCCTAGAAAAGAAGCAAATGGAAGAACAATGGTACTGTTGTTTTTCAATCTAAAGAAAGAAGAAACTTCTTATGGAAGTGATTCAGACTTACGGATCATCATTTGATACGAAAAGATCGACAAATGTATGTGGATCCTCAACATCACTGGAACACAATTTGGACTTTCAGAGATAATCAAGAAGTTTACCATGTGCAAAAAATCACATCACAAAGATAATAAATCTTCAAGAAGCCAAAATAAAATTAAAGCAAAAGACAAGAATACCTTTGCCACCGAAATTGGGCATTTCCTACAATTTTCTCCTCAGGCTTGTGATCAAGCGGGCCTCCAACCTAAGAAGGCTAAGGAAAAACTTTGTTTCTTGTCAAGTTAACCCGTCATGAGGCAAGGAAAATGTTAAAGCTATACCAATATACTGTCCATAGACAACTTGATGGAACACACACAGGACAAGGCGTAATGTAATCTTTTACAAGAGAAGATACAGTTGACGAAGTTGAGAACTATTATTGTGAAAACACATAAACTACTGAGGAAGGTGAATTTTGCACACTAGTACCTTGACAATCTGCGGAGGATGAAGACTGCATGTCTGGCACATCTACAACTTCAGCTTGACCAATTTAACATATATACATATATTACCGAAGAACCTTAAAAACATATAATTATGCTAAGTTCAAAACATTAATGTCACAAAGGAATAATGGATATTATGGTACTCCACAGCCACTGACTTAAAAATGTTAAATATGTCTCTCTGTAGACAATCGAAATCGCAAAGCCACATATTTCAAATTGACCAGCAACAAAACCTTTCCAAGTAGAAGCAGTTCTTGCCTCTTAATAGTGAATTATGGTGTGAAAAATTTCCCAACATTTTCCAGACCAAAGCCCACAAGCACATTGCCAAATTTGAAATGCCACATATTTCAAATTGACCAGCAACAAAACCTTTCCAAGTAGAAGCAGTTCTTGCCTCTTAATAGTGAATTATGGTGTGAAAAATTTCCCAACATTTTCCAGACCAAAGCCCACAAGCACATTGCCAAAATAAAAAGAATTGAAAAGACTGAGAGCTGGAGGGATATAACTCATACTAGCTACTAATATAACCAAATTCATAAGACTATAGATGGATACAGTTGCAATCAAATCAACGTGTGGATCATCAATTGGCTTAAGCATAATTCTGGTGCTAAAATGCCTAGCTTCCTCGAAATAATCCTCAAAAAGGCATCTCAATGCCAGTTTCCCAAACAACATGTTATATGATGATTCCAGCATCCTACACCGCACAAAGACCATATTATATAACTAAATCTTGTACGAAGAGGCAAAATTTGGTTCGATTTCCCAAATTGAAGCTAGCATTCACATGGAAATTATTAGTTCACTATCTAAACTTAAACTTAATTAATGTTGGTGAGGGTGAAGGTGAGGATTCGATTTCCCAGCAAATTGTAAGGAACATATCAAACAAAATAAATAGTGATAATTGAGAATAGAGGTTAGAATAACCTTGTACGGGCGGCGAGAGGAGGAAAATCGAAGAGCGGCGGAACTAAGACCATAGGCGGTGGAGGTTCTACGGCGGCCGACCACAAGTTCCCCATCTCTCACTCTTTTTTCACACTTGCTATGCAAATTACAGTGAAGTGAACACCGGAAATTACCCAAGTAGGGAAGAAGCAAAAAAAAAGGCGGTTAGGGAAATTCCGAAATCTCAGAATCTTTGGCCGGGAGTTCCTCTTCTTACAGCGACTGTTTCAGCTTTCAAATGGACGCCGATTCAGTGACGTGGCATATGAAATTAACTACCACGTCCTAAATCTTCATTTTCAAATTATAATACAGTTCAATGCACTGTGTCCCAACAATCTTTTTTAGCCTATTTTATAAAGTAATGTATACTTTTTATATTATAAATATAATTTGCTAAAATAATTTTTTAACCCCTTTCTTATGAAATTATGCTAAAATAATTTCTATAAAGGTACAACGAGTAGAATAATAGAAAATTACGATTTCACAAGTTATATTGTGTTGGTCCATTTTTATACAAACTGCCTTCACAAGTAATTATCATATACTAAGAAAATAATTGCCTTGTTCTTAATGTGTGGGCCGTAATTTTGCTCATTTAGCTTGGACGCACGAATATTGAAAAGAGTTTAAGGCTTGGATGCACGAATAATAAAAAGAGTTTAGGTTAATAGAGTGGGGGAATGGGAGGTAGTAAGCAAGACAACTACATTTTGACTTTTTTCTTAATAAAATGAGTTTCGGTGTATGAGGTCGATGGGTAATAGAACTCCAATCCTATATTATTTTTTAAGGCTTTGTTGAATTTGAAATAACAGCCCTTGGCTCTTCCTCCGTCAGCTAGAGCTTGACTACTGTAACGTCTAGTGAATTGATTCCTCCTAAGACTGGCCAGCCCTATGCAGTATTATTGTTCACCACTTTTTTTACCCAACAATAAGCACATGACAAAAGGAAAATCATCACTATGACCACACTTTCTGAACTAGTAGTAAAACAAATTAGTTGCTCCAATATTATTTATTCCAATTCCCTCTGCAGAACAGAGTCATTATTACAACAACATACCCAAATGGGTAGAACGTACGTAAACATTACCTATAACTGAGTAAAGGATCAAAATTGTCCCTTATCTTTGAGATAAGAATCAAATTAATCCTTGTCTTTTAACATGGAGCACTAATAGTCCTTCATGTTTCAAGAATTGGTACATTTTTAGTACCCTTCCAAATAACCGTCAAACATTCAAACGGTATTTTTTTTTTTGCACGTGAGAAAGACGACCATTGCTTACCAATTCTTTTCCTTCTTCTCCCTCAAACAGTATTCATCTATTCCTAAGAATGGACTATGAGGCCAAAAAATCACTGCCCACTGGAACAATTGCTCAGCAGCTTGTGTGCAAGAAACTTGTTTGCAGATGAACACCAACCAACATGTGTAGTATCCTCCCAATTAAATTTAATTGGGTATTCTAGTTATCAGTATGTTATCAATAATCAGAGGACACCCAATGATCTCAGATTTTTATATTCTTTTCTCGAATTTAAACAATCTATCACATAGGACATTGAAGAAGACTCAATGATGATAAAAAGTATTTTACATTCATACAAAAAAAAGAATTTTACTTGTCGGAGACTTCCATTGAAGGGAAATAAACAAAAATTAAAAATAAAAATAAAATATTCTTCAAAAACAACAAGATGCAACTCTCTTTATTTTGATTTCGTTTGTCTGATAGAAAAATGATAGTCATGAACATAGGAATGGATGGGTACTATTTGAGGAGAAGATTTGGTTAGCAATGGTGGAAACAGAGACAGCCTTTCTCACGTGCAAAAGAAACTTCCGTTTAAATATTAAACGATTATTTGGAAGGGTACTAAAAATGTACCAATTCTTGAAACATGGAGGACTATTAGTGCTCCATGTTAAAATACAAGGATTACTTTGATTCTTATCTCAAAGATAAGGGACAATTTTGGTCTTTTTCTCCCTATAACTCATAAAGATAAAGAGGTTAATTCTTCCTCGTCACAAATACAACGAACATAGTCGTTATTACAAAGACAATTTCACCACTTGTCTTCTACCATAAAATGGGAGAATCCACCCTCTATTTTATTTAGACATTTTTTGAACTATATAGACGAATACAATACGAAGAAAAAGAAAGAGCAAGAGGTGTCACTATTCTCCCACTAGAAAGATGGTAGTTGAATTCAGATAGAACAAGGATGAGAAAGGCCAAAGTGAAGTCCCCATAGCTTAAATTCTCCTTTAATGAAATCATAGTAACCTCCCTTCAATGCCAATGTTTTATTCACCAAACCATCTCTCACAAATGGATAGGTCAGCAAGTTGGCTAGTGATACATTCACAGCTTCCTGCAGTTTATTCATTTCCATTATTTCTAGTATACATATCTAATCAATAAAGTAGTAGCTAGTACTAGTTGACTTCAGTGACGAAGCCAGGAATAAATTTTACACATGACGTTACACTATTAGATCAAAACATTATTTTACCTTCTCACAGTATTTGCACTGTTCTTCAAAACTTATATTTGGATGCTCAGCTAGCACCTTGGCCTTGGCAGGTAATCCAATTTTCACCCAATTCTCAATAAATTCACTGCAATATCATCACATATACCGTATATTAATTTCTTCAATTAGTCATGTTGTATTGTCGATCAGATCAGTGTATATAACTTAAATAACGATACATACGTTGATTCAGAACCATCTTGTGGAAGACTCATGAGAGCCTTGATACCTCCACAGGTACTGTGACCAATGACTAGAATATTTTCTACCTTCAGATGGAGAACAGCGTATTCAATGGCAACTCCAGTTCCTGAGTACCTAAGCTGTTACAATGCCAAATCCAATATAAATTAATTAAAATTAGGTAAATAATTAACCAAATTAATTATTATAGGGAATTAATTATGTATAATGACCTTGTCATAAGGAGGGACCATGTTGGCTATGTTTCGAACCATAAAAGCCTCACCGGGCTGAAAGTTGAGGACAATGGATGGGCTCACTCGTGAATCCGAGCATGCAAACACCAAAAACTGTATAGTTTGTTCGTTATGTAAAACACTCAAACGATAAAATTGAAATAACATTATTAATATATTCTTGAATATTTAAAATATCACTTATTTTCAAACGGAAGGAAGGAGTAATAAGATCTTGTACCTTGGGTTCCTGGCCTTTTTTGAGTTTGTCAAACAGTTCTGGATTTTTGCTGATACACGTAACAAAATATTATTATTAGGCACTCGTCATTTCAAGTCGTTTTTTTTTCTTTTTCTTTTGTTTAATTTCAATGTTTTTGTTGCTGCACTTGTGTGTATCACTTTTTCTGATTATTTAAAAAAAAAAATGAGAGAAAGGACAAAATTATTATGATTTATAAATATGAAAAAAGAAAACCTTACTCATATATCTCTGTTTTGAAATAATTAAAGCCACACTTGATCCTGTGAACCGGGTCGAACGGTTTGCTGCTTGTTTGTAACTCAGCTGTGATTTCATCGATTCTTTCTGCTACAACTGGTCCCAGCTCTCCCTTTTCACTGTAGTGCCATGATTTCCAAATTAACATATATTATTGATCGATCGATGCACACAATTTAAACTCATAGATCATTTTCTTCTCCATAAATCTAATTCAGAAATTCAAATTATAAACATATATGGCATACGTTCGAAAATACCTTATCTACATAAATATGGTAATGTGTATTTTTTACCCGATTCATATTACTTGACCCCATTAAAAAAATAGTTATTTCTATTTATTTGTCTAATTTATGAAATCAAAGAGAAATTTATTACTATATTTTTCTCTTTATATACCCTTAGTATTAATTAGAGCTGTCAAAACGGGTCAGTCCAGCCGTACCCCGCCCAAGCCTCGCAGGCCAAAGAATTTGATGGACTGGGGCGGGCCGACCCTTCATTTCAAAGGACTGTAAAATGATCAACGCTGCCCAACCCCAGAAGGGTCAAGGGCTGGGGCGGGCCGATCCTCTTTTTTTTTTTAATGTCAAATCAATGTCACAAACAGTAACATTGTTTCAATGATTCTAAAAAAAAACTAGCAATAAATATTTAAAGAAAAAATAATAATCTCTTAAGTAAATAATATCTGAAAAACAAACTGGTAAACTAAAGAACACTTCTGACTAAAACTTTGATTAGCAATACATAATTACTTAAAGTATTTTGTTAAATGAAATCAAGAAACAAATTAATTGTTCAAGCCATAAAACATTCTATCATATATAATATAAATAGTGTTTATTATTCAAGTCTTATATTCAAAACTAAATAATAAAGAAATTCATGAGGTAAGCTCCTTAGAAAAACTCCACAAACACTTATTTAGGTTTTCTAGTTTTTTATTTTTATTTTTTTAATATTTATTTTAATTAAAATTAAATAATTTGGCCCATGCGCCGACCCCGGCCCGGCCCCGATCAAGCCTCAAGGGCTAAGGGCCTAAAAGGGTTGGACTTATAAGCCCCTGTTTTAAACGGGTTTGTAAAATTCTATCTCAACCCTATCCCAATAACGGGTTGAGTCGGGCCGCCCCATGGGCTAAGCCTTTTTTGACGGCTCTAGTATTAATTAATAGTTAGGTAAGATAGTAGAGTAGTTGTTTGTCCAATTTAGAGGTCTAGATCATCATTAATAAAATTAATTTAGTAAAATACACATTTAATTAGTTGAATTCTTTTTTTGGAAATGTAATTTTAAAAAGTAATTCCATGATTTCATGTAATGCTTTAGATACGAATCATACGATAGATGGTCCAAACCTGAGAAGGTTCTGGAGGGAAACAATGGCCTCCTCGTAAGATTTGTTTGTCATGTCTTCTTTCTGCAATTCCCCATTATTTTTCATCAGAATTAATTAGCAAATATTCATAAAAAAAATAGTTTAATACGTGAGGGGACTTATCGAGACATAATATAATTCAAAATAATTAGATCGATGTTTGCTTTCTATAGTTTAAGCATTTTTTAGATGTGATATATATATATATATATATATAGAGAGAGAGAGAGAGAGAGAGAGAGAGAGAAAGAGAGAGAGAGGTGGAGCTAGGTGGGGGTCATGGGTTCGCACGAACCCATTAACTTTTTCGTAGACCCTATATTTGTATTAAAAAATTAAATAAATATATGTATATTTTGAATTATATTATGTCTGGATAAGTCCCCTCACGTACTTATCTCTGTTGAGGTTTTATTTTAATTATATTATTAATAAAAAAAAAATTAAAAAAAAACTCCAAACAAAATTGATTTAGAACCCTCAAACTCCTAACCTGGGCTCTGCCTCTCTCTATATATAATTGTTTGATAATCATTAATCCATGCATGGAATAAATAACCTTGTACTAATTATTAGGTGAGTTTTACTGTTTTCATTAATCTAGCCATGTCATTAATTATAACACGGTAAAAGGGTGAAATTAAAGAGAAAAAGTCATGCACGTAGGCTAGCATGAATATATATATATATAAAGAATGAACGACTTGGCTAGATTATTAATAAAAGAAAACATTAAACGAATTTAAGTAATATTATATACACCTGTATATATAGATTCAACATTTAATAATTTTGTACAAAACTTACCCTCAAAACAAAAAGACGGTAAGCTCTAGTCATGACTACTATATATAACCAAAGACCTTTTCTCTTGATAATCAATAAGAAATTTGTGTTATGAAACATGATGGGTGCGTTTGGTATGAAGGAAAACATTTTTCTCCAATTTTCTCATGTTTGGTTGGATTAAATGTTTTGGAAAATGTTTTTCAAATCAACTCATTTTCCTCAAATTTAAGGAAAATGACTTCCCTTCAAAACTTAAGGAAAATATTTTCCAAAACTCTCTTCCAACTTCAAATTACAATTATTTTTTTGTTAAAAAAATCAATTTATTTTGTCCCTACCCTCAAACCAGCCCCCCAACCACCCCCTCCCCCAAAAAAATAAAAATAAAATTTAAAGCTTATTTTTTAAATTCAATTTTTTTACCCACCCTCACCCCTACCCCCACCCCCTACCACCACCCCCTACCAAAAAAATATTTAAAGTTGTTTTTAAAAGATATTTCTAATTTCAATTTTTTATTTTTTTACCTCCACCCCCTACCCTCCCCCCATCAGCCCCCTATCACCCTCCACCCCCTTCAAAAAGAAAAAAAATCAAGTTTGTTTTTCAAAAATATTTTCAACTTTAAATTTTTATTTTTTCATCCCGATCCTCAATCACCCACCCTCCCTCCCTGGCCACCCCCCCCACCCCCAAAAAAAATTGAGTTTGTTTTTAAAAAAATATTTTCAACTTCAAAATTTTATTTTTTCACCCCTACATTCGACCCCCCCCCCCAACTCTCCTACCAGCCGCCCCACCCCCCCACCCCCCAAAAAAATTTAAGCTTGTTTTTAAAAAATATTTTCAACTTCAAAATTTCATTTTTTCACCCCTACCCTCGACCCCCCCCCCACCCATCCCTACCCAGCCCCACCACCCACCCCCTACCAGCTCCCCCCACCCCCCCAAAAAAAATAATTTAAGTTTGTCTTTAAAAAATATTTTCAACTTCAAAATTTCATTTTTTTCACTCCTATCCTTGATCCCCCCACCTCTTACCCAGCCCCCTCCCCCACCCCCAAAAAAAATTTTAAGTTTGTTTTCAAAAAATATTTTCAACTTCAAAAATTCATTTTTTCACCCCTACCCTCGACCCCCGCTCCCCCACCCACCCCCTACCAGCCCCCCACCCCCAAAAAAAAATTTAAGTTTGTTTTTAAAAAATATTTTCAACTTCAAAATTTCAATTTTTCACCCCTACCCTCAACCCCCTCATCCCCCAAAAAAAAAATTAAGTTTGTTTTTAAAAAATATTTTCAATTTCAAAAATTATTTTCTACTTTAGTAAAAATAAAAGATATTTCTCAAAAACATTTTTCATTCATAAATCAAATACTAAAATTTTTTTCCGGAAAATATTTTTTAGTCACCAACCAAACATGAGAAAATAAGTCAAAAATCAATTTGTTTTCCAGGAAACACAGTTTCCATGGAAAACATTTTTTTCCTTCATACCAAACACACCCGATTTTTCCATTCATTTTCCACCAAATCAGTTCAGTGGAAAAATGCATGATGAAAACTACTTAATTTTCATTGAAATATTGACCCTAATTTTTTCGTTTGAAAACACTAGTATTTTCCTTTCTCATGATTCAATCAAAATATTTGTGAGAATAACTAAATTTTATTGGAAAAATAGTGATTGTTTTAGTAGTGAGTTGTCTATAATTTCAATTACATACTAGAAGTATATTTCATGAATTACAAACTAGCTCAATGTGATATATAGCTGGTTGTTATACATATATATGACAGCTAGTTTATATATATATATATATTACACAGAAAAAAAGAAGCTGATGATTTAAGAAAAAAGAGAGTATACCAAAAGTTGGTGAATTAAGAAAATACTGAAGAGTTGCTAAGTCTTTCAAAAGCAGATGGAAAAGAAATTAATTTGGATTTGTTTGGAGAAATTTGGGTTTCTTTAGCCTTCTATTTATACTACTACTCGATTAGCTAGTATAGCTAGTCATAATTAGCTAATAATGAGTTATCATATTTAATTATGTATCATGTTGTTAGTACGTTAAATATATAATATATATGTATATATTAATATATTATTATATACTCCAAATAATGACAATAGTGTTGAAAATGATTTAAGGGTAATAATTCAATGTATTGAGTTGCTACACCTAGCTAGAACTTTGATCCTTATTTGTTTGTTTATGTGTAGAGTGAAAAGATTGAAGAACCACCTTTTCGTGTGGTATAGTGGATGGAGCTGCTCTTTTTTTAATTCAAATCTCGGATTTAAGTTATGAATATGCAAAAAACCCTTGGTAGGAAACGCTTTCCAACAAATAGGGGCCTACGCAACGCAAATTCAAAATAGTCAGACTTCAATGTGGGTATCAAAAAGGGGTTAGAAATAAAATAAAAAAATCGAAGCTTCCAGCAATCATAATTGACCTTAAAAACAAGTGGAACATTTAATTAATATTAACTGATTATATTATTTATATTTATACAGTAAAATTTGAACTTGCGCTGGCCATTCCTAATTCATTTTACTTATGAAATGTGCGCTAAATCAGAGTCTCCCTAATGACCTTCGTCTAATCTAATCATCATATTTCAACTGTTAGCTAATTAATGTAAGTGAATTTAACATGTTTTGAAGAAAATATGTCAGATTTGAAAAAAAGATACTCAATTTTTTAGAAAAGCATAGTTATTAACGATCATGATTAAAGTGTGTATTAATTATGACATTCAGTTAGTTAGATTCCATTTTTCAGTTAGTTAGTGCAGTTAGTTAGTGATGTCATAGTCGGTTAGAGAGCTAATTAGTTAGTTAGATATTTTCTCTTTCTCCAGATTAGTTGATGCATAGTCACACATGTATATAAGTACTTCATTGGTGATCAATGAAAGGTGTGAGTTCTCATTTTACCAAATCACATATTTCTTCTCTGTTATTGTTTTCTCTCAGTTGCCAGTTATGGATTCCATAGTTTCAGCCATGGTTGAGTTCTCACCATCTGTGTAATTCTTAATATGGTATCAGAGCAAGGTTAGTCGATCTGTTCTTCGTCTTCTAATTAGTTGTATTGCTGTTTGAATTGTTATCTTCAATTGATACGAATTTTCGAAGTTTATGTGTTGATTCAAATCTGAGTTCGATCACAATTTTCTTTTCTGAGTTTCGATCACAGTTTTCTTTTCTTTATCTTGTCGAGTAATTCACAATAAGTTTTGTTGTGTACATCCATGGTTGTCGACGACAATGTATACACATCTGAGGGAACTAACACATCTGGAAACGACACTAATAGTGCTTTGTATGTGCATCCCTCAGATAGCCCAGGGATGATGCTTGTCCCTGCTCAATTTGATGGAATAGGATATCAATCCTGGAGAAGAGAAGTTATGCGAGCTCTATTAGTGAAAAACAAATTGGGTTTTATTGATGGGAGTTGTGAGAAACCAAATGCCAATTCACCTCAATTGCGCAAGGAAATCTCAGACAATGTAGAGTATGTGAATAATTCTGCTGAACTTTGGAAGGAGCTAGAGGATAGATACGACCAAACCAATGGGGCAAAACTCTACCAGATACAAAATGAAATCAAAGATTTCACTCGAGGAATCTTAGACATCATTGTCTACTATACGAGGATGAAGAAATTGTGGGAGGAGTTGAACACTTTGAGTGTGAAAAATCAATGTAGTTGTGTATGCGTGTGTGGTGCAAAGGATGGTATGCACAAGGCAGAGCAAGATAGACGTTTAATTCAGTTCCTTATGGGACTAAATGAAGTGTACACAGTAGTGAGAGGAAATATCCTCATGATGAATCCACTCCCTTCCATGGGACAGGCTTTCTCACTGTTAATCCAGGAGGAAAAACAAAGAGAGTTTAAGCCTATTGGTCGAATGCCCACAGATTCAATCTCTTTGAATGCAAATTCTCTTAATAACAAGAGTCAATGAGGAAGGACTTTCAGGACAAATTATCAAGGAAACAGTTATGCAAGTGGTAATAGCAATTATGCTGGTGGTAACAACAGTTTAGGAGGGAACAATTATGCAGGTGATAATAGCAGTTCAGGAGGAAATTATTACTCAGGCAATAGCAATGGTAAAAATGCTATAGTGTGTGACTATTGTAAGAGGACTGGACACAATAGGGACAAGTGTTACAAGTTGCATTGGTATCCTCAAGGCAACAATAATCAAAACTACAGGTCAGAGAGTTACAATGGTGGCCAGAGTTTCAGACAACAAAGCCCAAACTTCAAAGGAAAAAGAGTGGTGACAAATGTATATGGTGCTGCAAATGACATGATGAATACTCATGGAGAAGAACAACCACAAGGTAACAATCATCCAAATGTTAGCTTCACAAAGGAACAATATGGACAGATTATGAACATGCTGCACCATTTCCAGAATGAGAATGTGGGAGAAGATACTGGTGCTAATAATGCCTCCAGTGTTGCTGTTGGATCCATGAACTTTGCAGGTATTGTGGTTTGTTCTTCCTCTACTGATCCTTCATGCAAATGTTTTGAATCAAGTGCTAATTTGTGGATCATAGACTTAGGGGCATCAAATCATATAACCTTTAACAGAACTTTCCTAATCAACATTAGAACCCTACCTTTTCCTATACTAGTTTCACTTCCAAATGGATACAAAGTTAAGGTAACAAAATTTGGGGATGTACCAGTCACATCTAATATCACTTTACATCAAGTATTATATGTGCCTTCTTTTAAGTATAATCTAGTTTCAGTCCATTCCTTAACAACTTCTATGAAATGCATAGTCTTGTTCACTAATGCATTGTGTCTGTTGCAGGCCCCTTCAGTGAAAAGGCCTCAGGTGATTGGTAATAGCAGAGATGGACTCTACTTCTTGTGCTCAAGATGCCTGAAGACTTATAATAGAGTCAATACAAGTCAAATATGTTGTTGTTTTCCTAATAATAGTCTTTTTTCTGGTTCTAGTAAAAATAAAACATACAATTCTTCTACTGTCAAACCTTGTCTTACAAATCAATGTAAAATACCTACTTCTAATGCAGATCAATCTCATAGTGTTCACAACTTTGTTCCTCTTGTTTGTACTTCTACTTCCAATAATATTGATGTCTTGTTTGATCATAATTCTTGTAACAATTCTGGAGATAATGTAGACTTGTTGTGGCACAATAGACTTGGCCATGTACCTTTTGTGAAAATGAAAAGTATCACTGCATTACCAGCCACCTTTTCTTCCAAACAACCTTTTCCTGCAACATTTGTCCAATGGCAAGACATGAGAGATTACCTTTTAGTCACAGTACCAGCCAAACCAAATCCATTTTTGAACTACTCCACATTGACTTATGGGGACCATATCACGTATCCACATATGACAACTACAAGTATTTCATTACATTAGTAGATGACTACAACAGGTCAACTTGGACACATTTTTTAAGTACCAAAAGCAATGCCTTACAAGTTTTGAAAAATTTCATAAGTATGGTGGAAAACCAATTTAACACCACAGTAAAAAACATTAGGACAGACAATGGGCTGGAGTTTACTAGCAATGAAGCACACCAATTTCTTTTATTCAAATGGATCATTCATCAGAAAATTTGCCCGTACACACTACAACAAAACAGTTTGGTGGAAAGAAAACATAAATATTTGTTGGAAACAGCCAGAGCCTTTTTGTTTCAATCTAAACTACCAATAAGGTATTATGGAGAATGTGTTCTGACAGCTACCCATCTCATCAATAGGCTTCCCTCAAGCCATCTGAAAAATAAGTGCCCCTATAAACTGTTGCATAAAAAAAACCAAATTATAGCCAACTTAGATCCTTTGGGTGCCTTTGTTACCTCACTGTGCCAAAAGTACTTAGAAATAAATTTGAACCAAGAACCACCCCACATATTTTCCTGGGATATCTTTTTGGAACAAAGGTTACAAGGTAATGAATCTGGCTACAAAGAAGATACATGTCTCTAGGGATGTGATCTTTCATAAACATGTCTTTCCTTTTACTTTGTCAGCTGACAACAATTCTTTTCCTTCTGTTTTGAGGTCTATTCCTTCTCCTGATTATACTGAATTAGACTCATGTGATAACTGTGTAAGTGACTTTAACAATGTAACTGATACAATTCCCATTCATCTACCTGACCACACCATTGAGGATCCCATTGCATAACCACCTCCAGCCCTTGCCATTACATCTCCAACACCACCACAACATATCCCTTCCACAGTAATGCAAAGAAAATCCCAAAGAGAAAATAAAATTTCACAACATCTGAAAGATTACATTGTCAACATTCCTAACTTAAAATCTGTTACCATCAACACACAAAACACACAACATTATCCCAACAACCTTTCTCTTACTGCCTTATTTACCAAACATCACCATGTGTCTCCTAATGTCATTGCATCTAACAGTCAAGCTCTTGTTGAGAATGTTGTCATGATAGTAAGCCATCATCATATGAGGAAGCATCACTGAGCCCTGCATGGCAGAAAGCTATGACACAAGAATTTGAGACATTGTATGCCAATAACATTTGGGATCTTGTAAGCCTACCAGCAGACAAGTAGGCAATTGGTTGTAGATGGGTGTACAAAGTTAAACATAGAGCAGATGGAAGCATAGAAAGGTTCAAGGCAAGACTGATAGTCAAAGGATATACACAACAGGCTGGAAAAGACTATACTGAGACCTACTCACCTGTGGTTAAAATGACTACTGTAAGAACCTTAGTAGCATGTGTTGTGAAGAAAGGCTAGGGTATGTTTCAATTTGATGTTAATAATGCATTCCTTCATGGAGATCTCCATGAAAAAATGTATATGAAAGTGCCTCCAGGCCTTGAGATACCTAATCCAGGGCTGGTTTGTAAGCTAAATAAGTCACTCTATGGTCTCAAACAGGCAAGTAGGCAGTGGTATGCCAAGTTGACTGATGCATTATCATTCAGGGGTTACACACTCATATTATGATCACTCATTGTTTTACAAGAAGACAGGACCCTTGGTAGTGTTTGTTGCAGTATATGTAGATGATATTATTTTGACAGGCACAGATACAACTGAGATTGCACAACTAAAAGTGTATCTGGACAACACTTTCAAGATCAAGGATCTTGGCAGACTCCATTACTTTCTGGGCTTAAAGATACTTGACACAACAGAGGGGGTTCTTATTTCACAAAGAAAGTTTGTTTTGGACTTGCTCAGAGAATATGATTGCTTTAATTATGCATATCTATCTTCACCACTAGACCCTACTGTCAAACTAAGAGCCAAGGAAGGTACTTCTCTACCTGATCCACCTTCTATAGGAAGTTGATAGGCAAGTTGAACTTTCTCACTAATACTAGACTGGACATAGCCTTCAGTGTTCAACAATTGAGTCAATTCATGCGAGATCCTAGAGCTCCCCATCTACAAGCATCTTATCACCTTCTTATATACCTAAAAAAAAATCCTACTTTGGGGGTACACTTATCTAAGGACCCTGACTGCACAATTCAAGCATTTTATGACTCAGATTGGGCATTCTGTCCAGACTCAAGGAGATCAGTTAGTGGCTATCTAGTATTACTTGGGAATAGCCCCATCAGCTAGAAGGCCAAGAAATAAGAGAATGCCTCCCTATCGTTAGTTGAAGCAAAGTATAGATCACTCAGAAAGGTTGTAGGAGAGTTGACTTGGCTTCACATGTTGCTTACTGAATTGACTGTTCCCATCTCTTCTCATATTGTTGTTTACTGTGACAGTCAATCGGCTATATACATTGCTCGTAATCCTGTGTTCCATCAGAGAACTAAACACATTGAAGTGAATTGTCAATTTGTGCGCAATAAGCTTCAGGAGAGGCTCATTTCTCTGCACCATGTGTCCACCTCTGACCAACTTGCTGACATTCTTACCAAGGCTCTCACTGGTGTCAAACATTCAGCCATTTTACACAAGTTGGCCATGAAATCATCACCTCCAACTTGAGGAGGGGTATTAACGATCATGATTAAAGTGTGTATTAATTATGACATTCAGTTAGTTAGATTCCATTTTTCAGTTAGTTAGTGATGTCATAGTCGGTTAGAGAGCTAATTAGTTAGTTAGATATTTTCTCTTTCTCCAGATTAGTTGATGCATATTCACATATGTATATAAGTACTTCATTGGTGATCAATGAAAGGTGTGAGTTCTCATTTTACCAAATCACATATTTCTTTTCTGTTATTGTTTTCTCTCAGTTGCCAGTTATGGCTTCCATAGTTTCAGCCATGGTTGAGTTCTCACCATCTGTGTAATTCTTAATAATAGTCATGTTTGTAACGTATACATACTATATTTTCACATTGTTAGTCAATTTAAATATGTATTATCAGGCTATACTGTGCCATCTTTGTCAAATTATCAATTTGTAACGTTTATCACAAAAAAAATGAGTTTATTTGACCGATTTTTTTAATTTGTATCTTGTATTGTTTTAATTTAAAGCAATGTTGTTTTGAGGTCCCCTTATGAGTACAAAAAAATACGAGTTTCTTTGTCATATACTATTGCCTAGCGGTTCGCAGTATCAATAATCTTGAGAATTTTACAAAAATATATGGTCTAATTAAAATAATTACATCTACATAGCTCATATTTAAAAAAATAAAAATAAGAATTAGTAATGAAATTTTTTTTGTAAACTAATTTCATTTATAGACAGATATCAAATAAAATTATAAGCAACGGACTAATTATAAAATTCGTCACTAATTTATTTTTTATAAGGTATAAGGACCACATCACATAGCTCGATCTCTTAATTATATCTTCTTCAATTCAATTAAATGAATTGTTAGGAGGTTTTGAGTGTTTCCTACCGCACTTTTGCAGGCTGAAAATTGTATATTTTTTATTATAATATCTCATAAGTTATGTCACATATTTTTAATGAATTTATGTCTCTAAGTTCAATTGCAAAGGACAAAAAATAAAGATTAGACTATTTGAATGACTACAATTAAATGATTTAGAGGTGTTAAATGAGTGGGTTGAGCTTAATTTAAATGAGTTAAAATGAAGTGAGTTAATAAATGGACAAGTCAATTACTTTAAGTGAGTTAATAAATGGACGGATTATTGACTTGTCCAAAAGTTATTTGGGCTGAAAATGAACTAAAATGGGGGTCATAACTCGATCCGCACAAATTTTACTTGTGTTTAAAATTCCTCATTGCTGAGCTAAGAGGAATTTTATTACAACTTCTCTTCGATCTTTTACCCATCACTATCTTATTTCACTGCATGGCCATTTGATGTTTTGTTCTCTCTCAAATAGTCAAATGTTTTCTTCCAATAATATGATATATATAAAAATCAATTTTAACATTTGACTTTATAATCAAGTATACAATTAAAAGTTCTAAACCAAACTATACTTTTCATTTTTTATTTTTTGAAAAGTTTGAATGACTTGAAAGAATTAACTTAAATGGCCGTTATCCAAACATTTAAACTAAAAATAACCAACAAACATATAATATATGTATGTATTCATTTATGATATCATCTAATCGTATAAAATGTATAATATAGACTGGCTAGTTCCGCAAGAATACCAAAAATAGTGGCTATCCCAGAAAAGATGCTCATGCGTTCTTCGGCCCACTAGCAACCCGGCCTTTTTCATCGGGTACAAAAAATATTCGTAGCTTTGTATACTAAACTAAAATGAAATTGAACAAAACAAGTAAAGGACTAATATATTAATTTTGTCACCTCTTTCCTCTTTAGAATTATAATAAGTAATTAGTAGGTGAGGATTAATATATACAATGGTGAAAATAAAAATAGTAGGATTCATATACATTTGAATCAAAATTGTTTTGGATTGAGTCGTAATTGTTGTTACTGTCACCTTTTTCCTCTTTAGAATTATAATAAGTAATTAGTAGGTGAGGATTAATATATACAATGGTGAAAATAAAAATAGTAGGATTCATATACATTTGAATCAAAATTATTTTGGATTGAGTCGTAATTGTTGTTACTGTCACCTCTTCTCTCTTTGCGTTAGTTATAATATGAGGCATCGTTTAAGTGGATTATATCGATCTTTATGGAAAATAACCTAATTATACAAATCTTTCTACTATATTTATTATTCGTATAGTTTGAAAAAATCCATATTTGTCTCACTAATTAGTAATTTCATACAAGATTTCAAGTTAGATACTCCTAAATATATGTATTTTTTGCTACCAGATACTTTCTAAAATACAAATTCATACGGAGAGAGGTGAGCGAGATAGGAGGGAGGCGAGCGAAAGAGTCTGTGTATCTTAGATACATGCAAATTACACTAGATATATGTATTTGAGATACCATATCTATTACGAAATACAAATATAAAGAGAGAGACGAAAGAGAGAAGAGAGAGCTAATCAAGATAGGAGAGATGTGAGTGACATATATATATATACTAGATGGGGAGGCCCGTGGCAAGCACGGGCCCAATAGTCAAAATATTATGCTTGTAAAAATATTAATACTAATGAATCAAGGGTGATACCTTTTGCAGAAGATGGATAATATCATATATTATATACTATTAGAAATATTTAGAATATGTACAACAGACATCAGTATGATGCCAACTTGAACGATCTGCAAATACTAACTAATGTAATACAACCAAAATAATTATCCTTACTTAGAAGAGTGATATAGCAGATGTTTCAGTTTTGATATATAAGATTAGCATGTCATTGCTTATCATATGTAGAGGATACAATTGTGCAACAAGCTAAGAAATGTCTGCTTTATAGTTTATACTTGGATCCATATGTGACTATTTAACACGTGTTTGCTCTTTAGTTCCTTATTTCTCTTCATCTTCTTTCGGGTAGCCCCATTTTGTATTCACAAAATTTTCTGGTGCTTCTCTCTCTTCTTCACTCTTTGCATGTATCATCTCTCTTCTTGTGTGCTTGAAGATTTTGGGGCGTCATACTTTCAAATGAAGTTGAGACGGTCCGCAACCCTATTGTCATTTCCTCTTAAACTATATATCTTGAATTTCACTTATTTAAAGGAAAAGTTGAACAAGAAATTTGTAAAGTAAAACCTATCCTACATGCATAATGACATAAAATGTGAAAACTTCTTCATAAAATATTATGTGTGTCAAAAATA